TTGAGCAAATGGAAGAAAGCAGTATTGTTAGATCAAATTATAAATTTGTGTGTTTGTTAAGTTTAAAGATTCCTGGCGTTCGGGCCTGCTATATAGGTCGTGTGCCTGTCCCCCACCCCCACCCCCAGCAGTCTTCTCCGTACAGGATAGGGCATGCTCTTTGCTGGGCCTGTACCATCTTGTTAAAAAATCATTCTATGGCCAAACACTTGTAACTCTAGCATTTTGTCTTGTTGAGGAAAAGGACAGCAGTTTCTGGACCATGTTATCACTGTGTGTCTCACATCTTGAAAATGACATAGAGTTGGTGAATAACTTTCCCATGGTATTCCTGCTTTTCCCATCCACTGAAACGGCCTGTTGTAGCAAGAGGCTTTCAAGGAAGTACGATGGAGTCGTACTGGCCGTCAGTGTTGGGAGTGCGAGTTTTATAGATTAATGCAGCAATTAGCTCTGTGATTGAGAGTTACTCTGTGGGGATGTATGGTATGTTTTTGTTTTGTTTTTGTTTTTTAGGCTTAATAAACAAGTACAACACAAGCTGGCCTTGTGTTGCTGGTTCCTATTCAGTATTTCCTGGGGATTGTTTGCTTTTTAAGTGAGACACTTCTGACCAATAGCACAGAACGTCTTAATGCCAGAGGTCACTTCAGCATCTTCCTGCTTTGAACTCACGGCTGGCTGCTTCACTGCCCTGAGATTCAGCGAGACACGTAGCTTTGTTCAGTTTTCTTACATCCTCTGGTGCGTTTATCTTATGGATAAGCACAAAGAGAAGGTGCTTGCTGACACGGCACTGCTGCGCTGTCCAGGCTGTTCAGTGTCGACGGCTGAATGGCATTATTTGAGCTATTGAAAGCTTACTATGTAGTATGAACTAAATGAAGGTTGAACATGCTTCAGAACAATGCACTGATCTCTGCACTGTGTGTACAGTATTGGACAAAGGATTTATTCATTTTGTTGCATTATTTTGAATATTGTCTTTTCATTTTAATAAAGTTATATTACTTATTTATGACACCGTTAATAATGTGTCTTGTCTAAACTCGTACGTCTCAGGCAGCTGATAACCTTATTTTTAAAGCATGACAGAAGAGTCTCTGAAGTTAATACATGTTGAAACGTATTGGAGATTCCTAAATGACAATTTGAGCAACTTACTTGGGTATTATAAACATGCATGGGGGCTGGGGACTTGGCTCAGTTAGAGTGCTTGCCTAGCATGCACCAGTCCTAGGTTCTATCTCTAGTATCACATAAACTGGGCGTGAAACTCACATGCCTGTAAGCCCACTGTCTGGCCAGCAGAGGCTGGAGGATCAGAGGTCAAGGTCATCTTTGGTTACATATGGCATTTGAGGTCAGCCTGGGCCACATGAGTCCACGGTAAAACCAAGCTGTTTGTTTTTACCAAACTAAGGAACTTGATTGTGGTGCTGCTGTGAGGAGGGCGGGGTGCTGTGCAGGGCACTGCAGCTCCTGAGAAGCAGCATGCAGTGTACGGGCTTGATCTGACTCACTCTGAGCTAAGTCTGGACTATTCTGGCTTCTCTTGCTTATTTGAAGCCTTTAAAGGAATCTCCACTGCTGGAGGCCGCTGTCAGAGCTGGATGGTGGGCCCTGGGTGTCAGGTGTCATTCTGGCTTGGGAACTCACTCAGTAGCAGCAGCCACACATTAGATCTGGGAAGAAGAGAGCCTTCTCCCTCCCTCCCCTTACAGAATCCACAACAATTGGATTCAGATGTGTTAACAAGGCGACTGAGGGGCATCCTGCCTCTGGGACTTAGGTGAAGAGTTGGAGGTAAGTGATTTGGAAGGTATGTTGTTGGAGGCAGGCAAGTCCGAGACCAGGAAGCAGGAAGAAGCTGGGCATGTTCCAGAAGCTGCAGGCCACAGGCAGGAGTGGGCTGTGCAATGGAAAAGGGCAGTGGGTGCAGCTCAAAAGCCTAAGTGGGAGAGGAACACGATGTGATTTATTGTAAGAAGGATGACAGTGGCCGTTGTGTGGAGAGCATTTCAGAGAAGTGAAATTAGTAGGAACACTGAAAGCTACCGGGCACGCCAAGGCCCAGAATGGATACCAGAGTGACCGCAGGATGGAAACGAGGCTGTGAGAGTTCTGGTCATGACAGGCAGGCCCCAGACACTAGCAGCAGTCCACGCACCACCCTTCCAAAGCAGGCCATAGCTCTGCAGGCAGGGACTCCGGGGCCTCCTCTGTTCTTGACTGTGCTGAGCATTGCCTGGCACCGGGAGCCGTGGGTACTTCCTTAACCTTAGTTCCAACTTAGTTTCCTTCCTTGTTTTGTGTTTTCCTTTGAACTTCTGGGAATATACATTTTAAACTTTTGACACAGTGTGCCAAAATATAGCACACTGCTTGGAACACCCATTTGCCCACCTATGCCCCACCAACACACTAAGCAAATTGGATTTTTCTTTAATTTATTTTATGTGCATGGGTGTTTTGCCTGTATGTTGTGTGTCTGTGTACCACATGCATGCAGTACCCACTATCCAGAAGATAGTATGGAATTGTGGTTCAGACAGCTGTGAGCTGCCGTGTGGGTGCTGGGACCTGAGCCTAGCCTTCTGGAAAAACAGCCAGTTCTTAATGCTGAGCCATCTCTACAGCCCTGTAGGATATCTTAAATATAATTATCAAAATTGGGAACTTCACATCTGTATAATACTTGTATAATGTGTTGTTTAGTTACAATCAAACTAATTCTTGGTCCTGTTTTTTTAAAACTAGATACTGATTTGGGGATTCTGATCAGCGTTTTGTAAAAAGCTACAGTGTAAAGACAGAAGGCTCATTGCACAGAGAAGGTGGAGCTGATGCAGTCTCCAGAGTTGTCTGAGCTCTAGGGGAGACTTAACGAAGCCTCCACACAGTCAGGGCCTTGGGCCACACCTGAAACAGAGAAAAAGCCCCAAGGCAAAAGTGTTCATTTTTGATTGAACCCTCAAGCTTTGAGGTATTTCTGTAAGTTTTCTTCAAACTAAAAATGCACTTGAGGACTTGTTTTCTTGGCAGTGTAGGTCATTTGACAGAATGTTCTGGCCCCTTTGTTCCCTGTGAGTCATCCTAGTCTTAACAGCTTGGGGGCTCGGAGGGGTGAAGGGGAGGAGAGCCGAATTTGGTGAGTTCCCATTTGTCGACACTGCTGGCCTCACCTCTACTTGTAACTACACAAACACCGTTCAGGCGTGCCTGGCGCCGTTGACTGTGAGGGTGTGAGCTCGCTCACTTTTCACCTGCATGGATCAAACTTCAAGATGCCTGTACCTGAGCCACGAGGAGTCTGCCGCCACCACACGTTTGAACAGGCTCCCTTTGGCTCTCGCGTTGTCCGCTTGGAATTTGGAGCAGCAAACGTGTACGTTTTTCTGTACCTGAGCTTACATCAGAACAACTTTGTGACTCAAAGCCACAGCCCCGAAGCAGCAGGTGGGGTTCTGGTGAGGAGTAGGGGGCTGGGAAGGGACCGGAAGGAATGTGTCTCAAGTACCAGTTGGCACCTGTCTTAGAAAGAGCTGCTGTCAGGCTAGTGGCTTAGCGTGCCTCTTGCATGCTGTCATCTCTCAACCCGTGAGCCCAGACATCTACCGGGAACCCCAGGCACAGATGCCTGTAGCAAGTACCCCCGGGGACCGGCATATCTGCCTCCCCCTCCTGCTCCCACTAATGGAAAAACCATCACCTAGGAACCGCGCTCAGGAATTGTGCAGCCGTTCTCTTCACAGACCCCTGCGGCACCTTCCCTCATTCCTTGGCAGTCACTGGCCATCCACGTCAGTAAACATCTAATCCCAGGCCTCCCGTGGATTCCTTCACAATAGTGAGGGTTAGCCAGGGCCTTCCCCCGGGACAGCATGACTTGTCCACTCCCCTCTTGTGTAAGGCAGAATGAGTCGTGTCATTCCGGCCTGCGCCAAGCCTTCCTCTGGCCCAGCCATGGCACTGCCTCGGGCACAGCACACAGGAAGCTGTATTTTGTTATTCTGAATTCCTGGCTGGCCTCATGTTCTTGGATGAACCAGTGTCCTTGTACACAGTGTCTCTCCTCCCTCATTGATCAGGATTCTTGGCTGAGCAGCAGCCAGCTGACAGCTTCTGCAGCCGCTGAGTAATGGAGCCCGGCTCTGCAGCCCGAGCACCCACGGTGGCCCGCGCAGGACCAGACTTGCCCCGCGTGCTGCCTCAGCCCAGCACAGGAACCTCTAATTACACGTCTGCTGTTTGCAGGAGCCCAGGTGGCCTGGGCCCAGGCCCGGAAGAGACCAAAGGCCTGCTGTCACTGCAGGGCAGTGCAGAATCCCCTGGAGCAGCGAGGTTCAGATGCGCATTCCGATTTCATCACGGCCGGCCGTCTCTGAAGCCACTGTCACACTGTGTCATCTCCCCACGGACCTTCCCATGTGCCCCAAGAACAGTCAGAAACCGACCTGGCCCAGCAGGAGACTGAGGCTGGTGTGTTTTCCTCCACACAATATGGCATTGTCTCGGGGGTGGCTCATGTAGCTGAGCTCTGGCCCATTTGACTTGCCTGCAGATGTCCCAGTGTGAACAGCTCTCAGCTGTCAGGGACTTGCTGCCTGCCAAGCACTGGGCGCTCCAGATCCTGTGCGGTGGCTCCAGGACTGAAGAGGCAGCCTTTCCAAGGGAAGTGGGGCAGGGTGGCGGGTGGCGGGGAGGGGTGATGTTATTCGTGGGGACCTGGGTTCCGAGAGAACTATACAGGACAAGGGATCAAAAAGTCACTGTCACCAGTGCCTACAAAGCTCCGAGCCAGGGTCAGCAGCCAGTGTATCACACAGGCTGTGCTGTAGGCCACCAAGATGGTGTCGTTGAACCAGTGAGGAAACCGAGACAGCAACCAGAGATCTATTTGGGGTTGGGTTCTGAAGTCACTTCTTTCCTTCCTTCCCTACTTAGTTGTTGATAAGACTGTTCACTGTTCTTTTTTTTTTTTTTTTTTTTTGCAAGAATCCGCCAGATTTTAACAATAGATTGCCGAGCATTGTCTGGCAACAAGACTGACAAAGGTCTCAGGACGGATGTAGGGATGGCAGGATGTTCGGGAAGCCCGGCGACCTGAGTCTGCTTCCTGGAAGAAAATGACACCTCAGAGTCGCCCTTTGACCTCCACATGCACGTACAGTTACGCACACACATATGCTCATGCATACGTGTACACCCACAGCCACACCCACACAAACTATTTTTTAAATAAACTAGCTTATGCCACTGAAATGCTCATTTAAGGGTTTTTCTCTAAAGCCTGAAGTATCGGGTTGTGGGAAACTTTTTTGGTGTTGTTTAAGACAGGGTCTCTCTACACAGCCCTGGCTGCCCTAGAATTCACTATGTAGTCTACGCTGGCCTCAAACTCACAGAGATCCTCTGAGTGCTGGGATTAAAGACCTGTGCCACCACACCCGGCTTATGGGAAACTTCTATTTGTGTAATATTTGTTGCTATTCTGAGGCTAACCTAAATTTACTGTGTACCCATGCTGGCCTCGAACTTAGTGGCAAACCCCCTACTTTAGACTCCCAAATGCTGGGATTACAGGCATGTGAGCCACCACACTGTGGGACTTTTTTCCCTTAAATTGTATAAAGATGTGATGTCTTAAGAAACCACAAGAAAAAAAAAAGTATCTTTATATATACAGAGCTTTCGGCGAACTGCTCCGCTACAGGCAAAGGGAGGCCGTGCTGCCCACCCCGCACATGTAATTCCATCCTTCCTTCATCCCCACCCCCATGCTCATTTCCATCTCCGCAAACTTGTCTTATTCTTTCTGAATCACACATGAACACCACACCCTCAGGTGCGCACGGGAACTGCGTACAGTACACACACACAGTGTGTGCTGAAAGATCAGGGCTGCCTGCGTCGTTATCTGTGTTTCCAGGGAGCGCGTATAGCCTCACCTCTCTCCCTAACTGGGTCTAGCCTGGGGTCTAGCGGGAAGGGTTTTCACTGAAGCTCAGCAGCCTAATCCCAAGGATACAGTTTCAGTTCCTTCTGGGGTTAAAAATCCTCACGTCCGATTTTCCCCTTCTAAACAAGAGTCCCAGCTGAAACAAGGCACTACCTGTGTTTTCAGAGCGATTTAGGGTAGCCGCCTTTCAGGGTTCCTAGCCAGAAGGGGACAATACAGGGCGGTGGAGATTGGCTCTCGTGGGTCCTGCTCTCCCGCTAAACATGGAAATCCGAAAGCAAGAATAAGGTATGATGGAAGCCCAGGTGTCTGTGGGCACCAGAATGGTCTATGTCCGTGGGTCTTAGTCTCTGTGAAAGACGGTTTGAGAGGAAGAAGCCCAAAGGGAGGGGCAGGCTAAAGGTGAATGCAGGGGCTGTCTGTGTCAGCAGCCGAGTTCTCACAAGAATGAGCTGCAGGTAATGAACAGAAAGCACAGGAAGGATGTCCCCCATCCCGAGTAGCAGGTCCTGTCCCTCCCAACATTTGTTTTAGATGGTGGGTGATGCCCTCAGCCATCTCCCCTGAGCCCATGCCCCGCTCATTCCATAGCCCTTCTACTTCCCTGACTGACAGACACGTGAAATTAAAACTCTGATCAACAGTCAGGAAAAGAGGCATTTTTGAACACAAATGTGTATAAAATTCAAGTCACTGAGCACATAAGGAAAATTAATATCATGAAAAACACAAAAGCTGGGGGGCTGGAGAGATGGCTCAGAGGTTAAGAGCATCGCCTGCTCTTCCAAAGGTCCTGAGTTCAATTCCCAGCAACTACATGGTGGCTCACAACCATCTGTAATGAGGTCTGGTGCCCTCTTCTGGCCTGCAGGCACACACACAAACAGAATATTGTATACAAAATAAATAAATAAATAAATAATTTTAAAAAACACAAAAGCTGAACATGGTTCTACACACCTGTAATCCCAGTACTTGGGGGCTGAGAAAAGATCATCTTGAGTCCAAGGACGGTGTGGGCTACAGAGTGAGACCTTAGCACAAAACAAACAAACAAAACAAATAGAAAACAACAACTAAGAAAAAAAGAGGAGAGGAAGAAGCTCAAAGCAGAAGTAGTACCAGAGATACTGGCCTACCATACAGGAGGTCCCAAGTTCAATCACCGAAACTGCCAGAAGTCTAACCCTCATGCAAACATTTCATAAAGCAAACAGATGTTAAGACAGTAGTCCTCAGAGATTAAACAGAGCAGTCTATCCATGAAACAAGAACAGGATGTAATGTAAAAAACCCAGGGGCTAGAATCTGAGACAAGGAGAAAAGAGAGGAAGAGAGAGGAAATATTTAAAACATAGGAAAGGGGTTCGGGGTGGGGGTGGCTCAGCAGGTAAAAAGCACTTGCCACAGTAACCGGAGAACCTGGGCTCAATCCCTGGAACACACATGAAGAGTCAGATGTGATGGCTGAGCTCTCTAAACCTGGTGTTCCTGTGGTGAGATGGGAGGCAGATCAGCCTGAATGTGACAGGCCAGGGAGCCAGCTGACTGTACTTCCCATGCTGAGAATTCATTTTGCCTGGTTTTAAACTTTATAGCGAGGAAGTTTCAGGAACCAGCAGTGAAGCTAGAGAAATAGATTTGCTAAATCCTGACCTGGCCGCAGGCAAACATGACCGGACCAAGGGTTAACACAGGGTCACTGTCCCTGTGGTCCTCGGGCATAAATGGAGCTTACAGGAACTTTCACTAACCTGCCTAGTTTGACTTCCGAAGGCTTTCTGCTCCTGGATCAGAGACACCATGGTGACACAACTGTGCCCTGTTTTTATTAAAAAGTTAATATCCTACCATGCTTACCAGCAGCTGCGCCCATGTGAAAAACCGAACTGGTGGATTTCAGCGGGTCACAGGAGTGCATGCGCCTACTGAGTCCTTGTGGCTCAGTAAATCCTCAGATTCAAATAGAGCTCGTCCTGGCCTCCTCCTCTTGGTTGAGAGTACCCCATTTTCAACTTTTGGGTTTTTTTCCAGGGTTGTCACTACCCTCACGCCCCAGGGGTCTGCTGGGATTTAGCCAGCCTTTCTCCAGTTGAACACGCTCTTTGGTTATCTTTGATCGGAGGAAGATGGTTCCAAGATTCCAGGCTCCAGGGGACACCTCAGCGGTCTTCCGGAAGGGTGATTACGATGACTTCGACCCGCTTGCCACAAGGGTTCAAAAGTAAGTTCATCGACTCTGTTCTTTGAGGCCTTAAGGAAAAACCTGGCCTCCTGTTGGGCAGATACCCAAAGTCCCTTACCAACACCACCTGCGACCTCCTGAGTCTTCTGGGGGAAGCCAGGATACCAGTGTCAGCTAGGAAGGCACAGATTTGCAGACAACCGGTCACCAGCTAGCCCCAAGGTAAAAGACAACCGTCCAACCAGAGGATTTAGGCGATCATAAGCACCCGAGCCCCGGACCTGGCGATCCATAAATGAGTTTGTTGGGTCTGCTGACACTGTAGATTTTCCAAAGCGAAAAGACCAAGAGCTAATCTGATTCCTGCTGCTGTGCATGTAGTCAGAGGGTACAGCTAGGTGTCCGCCTCTGCTTTGACTTTGCCAATTAAAAAAAAAAAAGGAATGATAAAAGGGTACTTTAAATTGGGACCCTGCCACCAGCCTGGTTTACAAGAGCTAATTTCAGGACAGGCTACAAAGCTACAGAGAAACCCTGTCTCAAAAAATAAAACAAAACAAAGCAAAACAAACAAACAAACAAAAAATAGGACCTAACCTCTTTAGACGACTCAGTGGAGGCAGGGTGGCCCCCTTGTTTAAAAATTACCCTCATTCCGGGCGATGATGGCACACGCTTTTAATCCCAGCACTCGGGAGGCAGAGGCAGGCAGATCTCTGTGGGTTCGAGGCCAGCCTGGTCTACAAGAGCTAGTTCCAGGACAGTCTCCATACCTACAGAGAAACCCTGTCTCGAAAAACCAAAAAAAAAAAAAAAAATACCCTCAAAGGACCCCCCACAGTAATGGATCTCAAATGCCAGAATAATCCACCATCAGCTCCTGCTATTTGGATCAACCCTATATCAGATTCTCACCAGCAAATGCTTTAAATTCTGCCAGCCATGGTTTGCCATTAACTACTGGGCTGCTCCTGTCTGTGAACAGAATCACATCCCGGATGCATAAAGGGACATCTGCTAAGAGGGGTGGGGGCGAGAGCAGCAGGTGGGCATGACAGAGCGGTGGGAAGGCCCGCACACATATGTCGTACATGTGTGAAAGTGTCACAGTGACACTCAGCATCATGAACAACTAACAAATGCCAGCTTTAAAAAAAATGGGGCTGGAGAGATGGCTGAGGTTAGGAGCACTGGCTGCTCTTCCAGAGGACCTGAGTTAAAGTCCCAGCCACCACATGGTGGCTCACAGCTATCTATAATGGGACCTGGCGCCCTCTTCTGGCCTATAGGTGTTCATGCATGCAGAACACTCATACATAAAAATAAAAATACATTTTTTAAAAAGCTAATGTGTTTGTTTAAAAAAATCAAATAAAAAGGAAATGGGCTCTCATGGCAACACCTTTGGTCTGGTCTCTGGTTGGTGTTCTGTTTGTGACATTCTATTAGGCAGAAATGGCTTTTCCATCCTCTTTTGTTTTGTTTAGTTTTGGTTTTTGAGACAGGGTTTCTATGTGTATTCCTGGTCGTACTAGAACTCTTTCTATAGACCTGGTTGGCCTCCAACTCCTATTCACCTGCCTCTGCCTCCTTCGTGCTGGGTTAAAGTCCTGCGCTACCACTGCCTGCCTCATTCCATCTTTAAAGCTAACTTGGAGATATTTACCCATCACTCAGGTGATGGACATTTAAATTTCTCTTCCCTAGAGAGATAGGAGGGGCACAATGACTGTTGAGGAGACAGAAAAAGATGCCAGGGAAAGCAGCTGACACAACATTGCCCTTCAGATAATGAGGGTTTTTAGACCTGGGTGGGGTGGGGGAGAAGCACATGACCACGGGGGCTGTGGTCTGAAAGCATTCTGAGGGACAGGACATAATAACAGAGGCAAGTGTGGTAGGGAAAGGGTGGCAGAGCATTACAGATAGAGCTGGCGTAAGGTGGGAGAGCAAAAGAGACGTCCTGGAAGAGGGGGGGGTCTGCAATTCCTTATTGTGAAGGTTTCCCTAGGGATTGCAGGGATGTAGCTCAAAGCCAGTTTCTGCAGATGGGGAACCACATTTGTTAGAAATCTGTTAAGTCCTAGCTAAGCGGTGGTGGCCCACACTTTTAATCCCAGTGTAATGGTCTGTCCTATCCCTTTAAGAGACTAGCCTGCTCCCCCCTCTCCACCACCAAGGCAGGCAGATCTTCCTTCTGCTTCCTGCCTGCTCCTCTCCTGTCTCCCCCTCCCCCACTCTCTCTTATCTCCTTTCTCCTTCCCTCTCCCCTTTTCCCTTCTCTTCCACAACCCACTAAATAAATATCCAACCTCACTCTGCATGGTGTGTCTATTCAGCTATGTCTCACCCGCCCGTGCCTGGCTCCTAGTGGGTGGGACTGGCTGCCCCGCCAATGTCTCTCACCCACCACGTGGCTCCCCACCTGGAACCTGCTGCCTACTGCCACCACTCAGGGACCTGCGGTGTTTTATTTTTACCGTTACTTTTACCGTAACACCCAACACTCAGGAAGCTGAGACAGCAAATCTCTGTGAGTATGAGGCCAGCTTGGTCTATAGAGTGAGTTCCAGGGCAGGCTCTGAATCTACAGAGAACAGATTTGTTAAGTCCTGAGGCCAGAAGGACCGGAGCAGCTGGGGGCTACCTTATCCTGCACTGCTTTGATTCTGGAACCTTGTATGGGGTGAGGGCATTGAAAGAATGAAGGACAGACAGGCATCCACAGAAAAGCTGAGGTCCAGCTCAGCTCTTTCATTGTGAACAACACAAGGGGAAGGGTTAGCTCATCTAGGATGAGCTCTGTCAGGAGCTGTGTCAGGTTGTGAACGCCTGGAGGAGGAAGCTGCGGTTGTTAGCTTTTCACACACTGGTCAATCGCTCATAGACCTCAGTACTTGCACACACTGCCAACACTCGCACTCGGACCCGAGGGAGGCTTTGTCACTGCACGGGTCCTTGACATAGATATGCCCACAGAAGCAATATGCGTCCACTCAAGGCTTCATCCGTCCTTGACGTATTCACTCAGGGCTTCCTTGGCTTTCCACAAGGGGCTTGTCAACTCTCATTTCAAGGGACAAAGCAGGGCAGGAGGTGAATCTGGTCTTACCGCATTCTTGCATGTGGTCTTCTGGGGGTTGTGGGTTGCTTCATTGCTATTTGCTGATTTCAGATATTGCCAAACAGCTGCCTAAAAGGGTTCCCACCTGCAGCCTGCAGCTCCAGTTACTCCCTACCCCCAGGGCTGGTGCTGCTGTACAGGAGGGAGAAGACTTGGCTCTTCCCCACTACTGGAATGTTTACCAAAACGACCCACTGTGAAGGTGAGACCAAAGCCAGGCTCTCTATGTTCCACTGAAGTTAAAGACTGGAGGAGAGGGAGAACAGGGAAAAAACGTGGAAATAAAACAAAGACTACTTACACTTGAAAGTAACCAGAATTGCACACGTGTGTGTATATGATATATAATATATTACTTTGAATGTTTTACATTAGGAAAGAAAAAACCGTCAAAATTAGTGAGATAGCATCCAGTTTCAGCCAGAAATGGTCCAAAAGGGAAAGAATAAGAATACCAATTTCTGGCCACCAAATGAGGTGGCACACTCCTCTATCCCAGCACTCAAAAGGCAGAGGCAGGCGGATTTCTGAGTTTAAGGTTAGCCTGGTCTACAGAGTGAGTTCCAGTACAGTCAGGACTACACAGAAAAACCCCATCTCAAAAAACAAAAGACAAAACCAACAAGACTGGTAACTTCTCGAAGGCTATGCTCAGCTGGCTGAGTGCTTGCCTGCCTGCACTAAGCACACAGGCCCTGGATCTACCCCGGTACCACATAAAACCAGGCAAAATGGCATCCCAGCATTTGGGAGAGGCAAGCAGGGAGATCAGATGTTCAAGGTCATCCTTGGCTACACAGCAAGCTCAAGGCCAACCTGGGACCTGAGACCCTGACAGAAGGACCAACTAATCCTGTCACCTATGAAGAACTTGAGCCTCGTGCTGGTGAGATGGCTCAGGGGGCAAACGCACTGACTGGAGCTCAGACACGGGGACCCGTATGGTGGAGAGCGAGAACTCACTCCCACAGGCTTTCCTCTGGCCTTTCACCTCATCTCCCTTCTCTCCCACCCCTATCCCCAGAGCAGGCAGTCCTGGCTGAACAGGCCAGGAAGAGCAAGCCAGTAAGCAGTATTCCTCTGCAGGGCCTCTGCTTCATTTCTCTCAGTGATGGGGTGTGATATGGGAGTGTAAGATGAAATAGACCCTTCCTTCCTCATGTGCTTCAGGCCTGGATGTTTAACCATAGTCATAGAAACCTTAATTAAGACAGGGCAGTTTGACGACCTGTCAATTTAGT